CGCTGGCAAGGAAATTGTCATACCTACTTGGCTAATGGCTCCCAGCACCTATCTGCATGGGAAGGGAATAAATAAACTGGGCAGAGGTGTGGGCTGGCTGGAAATAAAAGGCTGAAAAAATAGTATTAAGAAATAAAGATGTGGCTGGGGTTGTATCTCAGTGGGAGCACGCTCGCCTAGCATGTGTGAGTCCCTGGGTTCGATCCTCAGCACCACATATAAATAAATAAAATTAAGGTATTGTGTCTACTTACAACTAAAAAAGAAAGAAAGAAAGGAAACTTACTGTTAAAGAAAAAAAAAAAGAAAGAAAGAAAGACAAAGGACATAAGAAATATAGTTAAAGGAGGGGATTGATGGGCAGAAAAGACCTGATGGGTCCGATTCTAACAAAGGGAAAAGGGCCCGAGTGTTTATTTGTAGTGAAACACATCAAAGGCAGATTTATTGTGAGAAAAACTTTTTCAAGATAAACAAGAAGCAAGAGGCTGTAGGAAATTGGCCTGATTGGAGACTCATCACTTGCACACTAATTCTCCTCCTCCTCCGGCTGCTGGTGCCTCCAGGCTATTTGGGCTCTGGTATCTCTCTGTACCTCTGGGAGTTGAGTGAACCTAGGGCTGTCTGAGCCAATAAATTCTGGGGTATCACAGAATTCTCTTTGAGCAGGATGTTGCCAAGGCAACGCAGCATTGGTGGGATGACACTGAGAATTCTCTGAGGGGCACACCTCTGCTTAGAGATGGCTCAGACAAGCCCACAATTCATTCCTGACTCCCCACAGAGACGTGTGGGACACCATCAATCAAGTGTATCAACAGCGTCACAAGGAGAATCTTACAAAGAGAGGAGAGAAATAAAGAGTCCGAATGAATATATGAAGAAAGCAATGGTCCCAAACATACAAAGTTTGATGAAAAACATGGCCATTCAAGAAATTCAACAAAAGCTCCAAAGAGGAAAAACTCAGAGAGTCACAGCTTGCCACATCATCAGCAAACTCAACAGCAAGGAAAAAAAGAGTCTTGAAAGCAGCCAGAGAGAAGCCACTCATCACATACAAAGGATCTACAATAAGGTTCATGAATGAATTCTCGTCAGAAATCATGGTGATTAGAAGGCAGTGAGTGACGTAGAGCAGTGAAAGAAAAAGACTACCAGCCAAGATCGTCTATCTAGCAAAACTATCCTTCAAAAGTGAAGGACAGGGGTGAGGTTTTAGCTCAGTGGTAGAGTGTTTGCCTACATGTGTGAGGTACCAGGTTCGATCCTCAGCACAGCATAAAAATAAATAAATAAAGCAAAAGTTTTGTGTCTAAAAGAGGAAGAATAGGAAGAAGGTAAAGTTATGATTTGAGATCTATCTACAACTAAAAAATATATTTAAAAGAAAATGAAGGTCAGAAGGCTGAGGCAGGGGGATCGCAAGTTCAAAGTCAGCCTCAGCAACTTAGCGTGGCTCTAAGTAACTCAGTTAAGACCCTGTCTCTAAATAAAATACAAAAGGACTTGGGATGTGGTTCAGTGGTTGAGTGCTTTTAGTTCAATCCCCAGTATCCCGACACACACACACACAAACAAAATAGAAAAAAAAAAAAAGAGAGAGAGAGAGAAAGAAATGAAGTTATTTCAAGATAAAAACTTAATTGAGACTTAATTACCAGAAGACTTGCTATATAAGAAATATTAGAGTCCCTCAAGTGTCTTTTCAGACACTAGATAATAACTTGAATTTACATAAGAAGTGTCAATAAATAAATTTCATTAAATATAAAAGACAATATAATGTACTTTTTGTTTATAATTCTTTATTCTCCTGCATGATTGAAGGGCAGCTGCATAAAACAATAGTATAGTCCTGTGTTGATAGACATACAGTGTATTTTAGAAGAGCACAAAGAGGGGTGGAGGATAAACAGACTTGGTCAGGAAGCATAGTATTTTTATATTTTAATGGATTTGGTTTGTTAGTATTTTGATGTCAATCTTGCATGTACATTTGAATTTAGTTTGCTGATGTTTTGGTATGGATCTCTGTATGTATGTATATTCATAAGAAGTATAAAAAGATCTCAAATCATAACTTCACCTTAAGAAATTAGAAAGAAAAGCAAACTTACTCTAAACATAAAGAAGTAAGGAAATAATAAAGATTGAGTGGAAATCAATGAAATAGTGATTAGAAAATGAGAAAAATGACAACCCCCTAAAAGTTGATTCTTTGGGAATTGACAACATTGACAAGTCTTTGGCTAGTTTAATCAAGACAAAAAGAAGACTGAAGTTAGTAAAATCAGGGGGGAAAATAAGAAACCTTTCTAAGGGGTCATATACAAGGAGTTATTACTTCTGATGTTATAGAAATTAAAAGATTATAAGGGATTACTAGGAACAATTACAAGGCTAACAAATTAGATAGTCTAGATGAAATGGATGTATTCCTAGAAAGACAAACTACTGAAAACGACTCAAGAAAAAATAGGAAATCTCAACAGACCCATCAACAGTAAAGGAAATCAAATTAATAGTTTTCAAAAATCCTCCCTGCAAAGAATCACCCAGGACTAGTAATTTCATTACATGCAAATGAATTATTGGTGAATTCTATTACATGTTTGAGAAGAATTAACATACTCATCAGTTCATTCCCAAAAGTAAGACACTTCCTAACTCATTCTATTATATTTGTATCATCCTCATACAAAACCAGAAAAGACTATTATATATTTTTAAGTATATATTTTTTAATTGTAGATGAACACTATATCTTTATTTTATTAATTTTTATGTGGTGCTGAGGATTGAACCCAGTGTCTAACATGCTAGGCAAGCATTCTACTGCTGAGTCCCAGCCCCAGTCCCTATTATATATTTTAAACATAATATCTCTTGTGAATATATATGCAGAGATCCACACCAAAACCACAAAACCAAAACCGCAAATCAAATCCAAATGTTCATGCAACAATTCACATTAAAATATTAACAAATCAAATCCAATAATATATAAAAATATTGTACTTCTTGGGCTGGGGTTGTGCTCAGTGGTAGAGTGCTCGCCTAGCACATGCAAGGCCCTGGGTTTTTTTTACCACATAAAAATAAATAAATAAGTAAGTAAATAAATAAAATAAAGGTATAAAAAAATTGTGCTTCTTAAGATTGTTTTATCCCAGAAATGTAAGAATAATACGTTGGGTTCAAAATGATAAAATAAATGTAATACACTGAATTGGTAGAAGAAAAAAAATCTACATGATCATCTCAGTACACCAAGAAGAAGCATTTGACAACATTTAACACACTTTCATAATAAAAATGCTCAATAAACTAGGAATAGAAGGGAATATACTTAATTTGATAAAGGACATATGTAAAAACACCTCAACAAATACAATTGATGGTGAAATACTTTCTCCCTAAGATCAGAACAATACAAGATTGTGAGTTTTCACCATTTCTATTTAATATCATACCAGAGATTCAGATTTTGTTTTATATACACAAATCCACATGTACATACTATATCACAAGATAAAATATACTACTTATTGTGGATTATAGTAAAGAAATTTTGAGAAACACCAATCTGAAAGAGCACTATGATTATGGGAAAAGGTGTTCCTAAGATGGAAACAGTATGTATCATTGACTGGAAGTTGATTATAGCAATGACAAATTCAATTATTGTCCCCATATTCAATAGATATGACATTTTATATTTCCATTTGCATATAGGTCCACCAATGATAATGTAGTAAGAAGTTCTTTTCAAATACCTGATCCTTCTCCCCGGATTTTACGACTGTCAATTGCCAAAGGCATAGATCCTAACTATGTTCCTCCAAAAGAAGTAAGTGACCCATGTGAAAGAGCCAGTTCTTAATTGACTTTACAACATGGTACTCTCTTATGTTTAGGTGCCTATTTTTTTTTTCTTCCTTTGTACTTCTCCTCTCATGAAATGAACTTTTCTGACTAACTCTCCTATGCTCAACGAATTGGTCAGGAGTGGATTAGAGAAGCAGAACCATGAGTGATATAGAATAAATGGTTTCTTATACAGATTAAGCATTAAGCAATGTGGGGGGAAAAAGTCTATGGAAGGCCTGGATGGCATCTGGGATTTGGTCCTGGTAATTGATATAGAAGCAAAGAAAGGTAGTAGAGACAGGTCTGTGGCTCCCTGGGAGATGTCTGAGCTAGGGGAGTCTAACCTCTTCAGGGGTGGAAGGGCTGATTCTAGTAAGGAAGCTTTAGCGCATTTAGGGGCTTAAAGTCTCCAGCTTCTTTGGGAACCACCCATATGTCCCCGTTTCAATTTTCAAGGTTCTAGTCCCTCCCAATCATTGCCCCAACTTTAACATAAAGGTCTGTGCAATACTTTCATTTTAACTCACCCACGCACAGAATTAGATTTTGCTTTTCAGAATTTTCAGCCCTCTGACAATAGAATAAAGGATTTTTATTTTTTTATGGAAGACAGAGGCTTTCTGTTCCCTTATCAGAACTTTCAGTTAGGAATTCAAAGACTTGCGTGGATGGTTTCTTTTCTCCAGTTCTCAAGTGCACTTACAAACAGTCAGCCAACCCCATTGTACTTCTTGATATCACTACAGTGTCCTTTGATAGCAATGTTGATCACCCAAAGCCTGTCTTTCTATTTTGCTACTGCATGCCATGAGCTGCCAGTGGGATTTTTATTTTAAAGACCGCTGGTAGTAGTGGGCTGTTGTTATTATTATTATTATTATTATTATTATTATAGTTATTGTTTATAATAAATAATGAGCTCATTAATGCCTTTAAATCTAATCACCTCAGAAAACAATTTCTAGATAATCTTGAACCCATATAGAGAATCTTTCCTTTGGTAACAACCTGACTTGGTGGTTGCTTCATACCAAAACACCTAAACTTAGTGATGTAAAATATCAATAATTTTATTATGCTCAGGGATTTTATGAGTCAGAAATTCTGACAGGAAAATAAGTAATGTTTGTCCCAGCTCCAAGATGTGTGAGGTCTCAGCTGGAAAGCTTAGAAAATTACTTAGGTGTCTGAAGTAGTAAGGGGCTGGCATCATCTGGAGGCTCCTTCGTGTTTTCGTCAGTTTAAGGTTCTATAACCTAATACCCCAGCCTGGGTACTTAAACAGAAAATATTTATTTCTCACAGTTCTGGGGGTCGGGAAGCCCAAAATGCCAGCAGATTCTATTCTAGCTTGCAGATGGCTGTCTTCTTGCTGTGTGCTCACATGACCCCTTTGAAAATTGGGGTGTGTGGCTGGGGGAGAACGGGTATGGAGGTAGAGGGATAGAGAGCACTCTGGTCTCTCTCTGTCTCTCTCTTAATACACTAATCCCATTATGGGGAGTTCCCTGCTCATGACCTCATCTTACCCTAATTACTTTCCAAAGACCCCCCTGCTAAATTTCCACACACTAGGGCTTCAACATATGAATTTTGGAGAGGCACGAACATTCAACATTCAAAAACAAAATCTGTAACAACAACTATGTGTGACGTCTAGCTGGAAATGACTTGAGGCTAGACTCAGTTGGTAATGTGTACACCTTCCCAAGCCCTCTCCATGTGGGCAAAGACCTCTCAGCTTGGCAGCCATGCTCTGGGGAGTATCCTAAAATGGAGTGCCCTGAGGATGAGCATTCCTAGAGAACAGGAGGCAGCTACATAGTTTCTGGTGACTTGCCTTTGGAAGTCACAAGTCACCACAATTATACTCTGTTGATTGATGCAGGTAAGTGTGGTCTGGTTGGATTCAAGGGGGCGGGGAAGCAAAACCCTACCTCCCAATGAGAGAAGTATGAAAGAATTTATAGGCGCTTAAAAAACCCTGCCACACCCAATGATGTGAGTATTTTGGTATCCTTGAGCAGATTATGAGTTAATAGTCTCATGTTTAAAATTTCAAATTTTAAAAATCAAAATTTTGGGGCTGGGGTTGTGGCTCAGTGGTAGAGCACTTGCTTAGCACCTACGTGTGAGGCCCTGGGTTCAATCCCCAGCACTACATAAAAATAAGTAAATAAAATAAAGACATTATGCCCAACTACAACTAAAAAATAAATATTAAAAAAAGTCAAAATTTCTTAGACTTTTCAAGTTTTGCTCACAGGTTTTATTATATTTATAATTCAAGCAGTTTTAATAATTAATTTTAAGAGTCCCAAACCATGTTTGGTTATATTAACAAACCTAGTTAATAAAATACCTTCAAACAATTTAAACTACATTTATCAATATATTACATTTGATTTATGTTCAGGTACTTTACTTCACCCATCTACACTAGCAAACAAAATCTTCTGAAATACTAAAGCATTACTTTAAAATTTATAAGTTGTCTATCGAAGGAACCGCTGAGCTAGAGCCAGTCCTTACTTTAAAATTTAACATGTTAAGTTTATAAACATGGGGGAACTAAATTTTTTAAAAAAAAATATTGTAAGAATGGACAGAAAGCTAAGATTTTAATTTAATGTCATAATTCTAATTTGATTAATCAGTTATACATTTCTAATGGCAGTTGTAAATTTTTCACTCTCTTTAACATGAATATACTTTTTATTCTAATATACATATAGTTTCATTGTAATAATTTTAAACTTATTGAAAATTTGTAAAAATTCACATTTTGTTCCCTTTCCTTTATCATTCTCCCTCCTCCATGTGTATTGTACGCAAGTGTGTGTGAATAATTTTTTTTTGAGACAAGCTACAGCTGGTCTTTATAAATGTTATATCCAAGTTTCCCTAAATATTTCAATGTTAATTTCCTAAAAACAAGGACATTGTATTATCTAACCACAGAATAATAGTATTATCAAAATCAGGAAATTTAACATTGGTACGATATACTATATCCACCCTATCTATGATCTAGGTTCAAGTTTCATCATCTCTTGCACATACTTATTCTTAACAAAATGTTAAGTTAATGATTTGATCCTCTTAAGGTTTTTTTTTTTTAATAGTTAATCATTACTCTTCCTCAAGTTTAATAATAATAAGACATGCTCATAAAGGAAGTCAAGGTACTCTCACAGGTGCCTGAGGTTACTTGCCACCAGAGACCTTGGAAGGATGAACTACAGAAAGTCGTTCTCTGTCAATGGCTAGTCCTATTGAATTCCCTTTTTATAGTACAGTTTTTGGAGCCCGCACAACTTAAAAATGGACTGAGCTCAATGATCGAGACTCACCTTGTCCTCAATCCCGGTACTGCAAAACCAACAAAAACCCACCCTGCCAAATCAAATCCAACTTAAAAGTGGATCACTCTCATGGCTCACTTAGCCCATATCAGTGATTCTCTATTTAACCAGTGTCTGCAGCTCCTACCCAGATACATCGACCTGTTTTGGATTTTAAACATCTTTAACTTTTGAGAGACTTTGGACTCTTCAGACTTTTATTTTCTATCTGGCAGATACCTAGATACCTTTGAGTACAAAGCACTTGAACTCTGGCTATCCCGCTTGGCTCTGTCTCACTTGCTGTCCTGATTCATAAGGTCATTGTACTCATACCCCCTCCCCCACCCATCTTCCTCAGTCTCTGTTTTCCTAGAATAAAAATTCTAGAACTAAAATCGCTGGGTTGAGAAAGTGCATGAACATTTTGAGGCGATGTGTGTAAGATTCTAAAACATGGTCCCCAAAAGTAACTTTGATTTGCATATTTGCTTGCATTCTTTGGCTGCCTTTCCTTTGCACCAACCAATATGAAATACTACTTCTTTTGCAAAATGTTAATTGGTAGTAAAACAGTATATCTTTAAATTTCTCTGATAATAACAAAGTCAAATAGTTAATGAACTATTTACCATGCATATTTTTTTTTCTGAAAAACTCATCACTTCATGATTTTAATTATTTTTCTACTGGCCTATATTTTTTCATTAATTTATAAAGTTCTTTACATATTAGGGATAATTATCTTCATCTGTTATATATGGTACAAATACTTTCTCCTCACTTATAATTTAAAATTATTGAATTTTAATTTATATAAAACACACATCTTAAGTGTGTAGTTTAATAAGCTCTTAACAAATGCATATGTCTATTCAATAACTACTCCAATCAAGATACAAAACATATCCACAGTTCCAGAAAGTTTCTTTCTATTTCCAGTCAATTCCTAATCTAACCCTTTCCCTAAAGGCAACTACCATTCAGATTCCTATCAGCACAGACTAGCTTTGGCTGCTCTTGAACTTGATTTAAATGAAATCATACAATATATACTCTTCAGTATCTGGCTTTTTTTGCTCAATCAACACAGTGTTTTTGAGGTTCATGCATACTATTGAGTGTATCAATACATTGTGTTCCTTTTTATTAAGGATTATTCCATTGTAAAACTACATTGTAATTTGTTTTCATTCCTTTGATGGACATTTGGGATATTTCCAAATGGGCTATTATAAATACAGTTGTGCTGGGCGTGATGGCGCATACCTGTAATCCCAGTGGCCTGGGAGGCTGAGGCAGGAGGATCGCGAGTTCAAAGCCAGCTTCAGCAATGGCGAGGTGCTAAGCAACTCAGTGAGACCCTGACTCTGAATAAAATACAAAATAGGACTGGGGGTGTGGCTCAGTGGTCGAGTGCCCCTAAATTCAATCCCTGATCCAAAAAGAAAAGAAAAAAAGAATACAGTTTTGAACATGGTTTTATTTCTTTAGGGTAAATACATAGCAGTAGAATTGTTGAGTCATAGGGTAAGTGTAGATTTAGCTTTATAAGAAACTCTTATTTTGCAGGTGAGTGTATCATTTTTGTTCTTTTTCTCTCCTCCTCTGGGAACCAAACTCAGGGCCTAATGCA